AAAGGGAACTAACAAGTCTCAGAAGAGTTTAGTATTTGATACATTAAGTGAAGCATTGTATCATCAAAATCTGTATGGAGGAAGAATTAATAAGATTAGTGGATTTTATGATGATAAGGTTTTGACAGAGATGACAGATGAATATATTAAAGAATTAGAAAGGAACATAGGCAAGGGATGGGTTTTAGAATTTAAGGCTCATGATAATGATGATGATAGGTACCGGAATTCTGATGACGGCACATATAAATTTTGGAAAAATAATATGTATTATCACAATCATTGTCGCGAATGTTATAAAATTATAGATGGTAAAAAATACGATATCAAAAACGTTGAGAAAGAGTCAGAAGTCAAATATTACACATTGACAACGACACATAAACAAGACTTAACCAATGGCTTTAGGTATATTAAAGAGCTACTCATGCAACGACATAATTTTAAAATGCATAAAGATTATAAAACATTGAAAAACAACAATATCAATGTGCATAGTGTTAAAACCGATGCCTTCATTATTGATAGGAAAAATATTGACAAGGCCAAAACATTGATTAAGTTTTCAACCAAAAGGGGAGGATGGAGAGCTGAAGATAATAAACAAGTATCACCACCGAGTGATATATACAAAATTAAGGTTAATGAGTTATCAGAAATTCCGACTTACAATAATGTAAAAATTCGTGTTAAAGACGAATACGACACCAAAAGCATTTGTGAGCAAATTGTGTCGTGTAATCCGGTGTTGATAAAAGCAAAACTGGCTGGAAGCGGCAAGAGTTATATAGGCGAATATATGAAAAATCTAGGTTATAATGTGTTATTCGTATGTTCTAATAACAAGCAGAAGCAAGAAACCGAAGCCGACGCCGTAACATTAAACAAGTTTTTCAGTATTCCAATAGAAGCTGGAGAAAGACTACCGACATTTGACCATTCTGATTATAATTGTATTGTGTTTGATGAGCTAGGTATGGCGGGCAATTATATTTTGAACAGAGTTAGGGAGTTTAAGGATACGTACCCAGAGAAGATAATTATAGGAACTGCTGACGGGAAGCAGTTGAAACCTATAGCTGATTTAACTAACATCCAGCACCACGAGACATATTTAAACAACTGTCTTAATCAAATATTTAAATATAAGATTTATCTTAAGATATCTAAGAGACTTAAGACAGAAGAAGATAAAATTAAATTGAATGATATATATAATGACATTTGGAAAAATAAACTGCCCATTAAGGAAATAGTAAATAAACATTTTGAAACTACAAGCGACATCATGGAAGGAGAGCATAACATAGCCTATACTAATGCTAGGTGCAAATGGGTAAGCAAGACCGTAAGAAATAATTTAGGAAAGACAGATAAATATGAAATTGGAGAGCATGTGATATGCAGAGTTTATAAAAAGGAAATGGGGCAGGTGTTTAATGTAAATATTACTTATGAAATTATTAGTATTGATGATTGGAAAGTAGAAATCCAAGATATCAAAAGTAAAACTATATTCATGACAAACACCACGACTTTAGACAAGCACTTTATACATGCTTATTGTGCTACATGCCATTCGTCTCAAGGGGCTTCTCTAGATAAAAGCATTACTATACACGAATGGGACAAATCGCATTTGGTCAGCCGTGAGTGGATTTGGACAGCCCTCACGAGATGCAGAGATATCAATAAAGTCAAGTTTTTCAAAGCAGACGTAGATGATACTGATTTAAATGAAGCACAAGTAGCCAGGTATTTAGAACATAAGATTAAACAATATAAATTACAAGACATGAAAGCAGAGAGAGAGATAGACAACAAACAATATATTGATGTCAAATGGTTATTTGACAGGCTTAATACCAGATGTAATAAATGCAGTTCAGATTTTGACATAGAAATAAATAATGGAGTAATAAATAGCAATATGACAGCCCAAAGAATAAACAACGATTATGCCCATCATAAGGAAAACTGTATATCTTACTGTTTAAACTGTAATCGCCGGGAAAAATAATATCTATCTTATTTTATATGGCATCTAAGCAAGATATTATTAATAATGTTTATTTTGACAAGGGAGGCTTCGGAAGTAAAGCCACCACACTTAAGGACAGTAGGGCAAAGGATAAAAGCATAACAATGGCAGATATTGAAGAATTCTTTAAAAATAATGTTGAACAAAAAACTAAAATGAGAGGATATAATAGTTTTATCCCAAAGGAACCATACTGGGAATATCAGATGGATTTATTCTTTTTCAGTGATTTAGACAATCAAAAAGTTAAAGTTGCTTTTTTGTTTATTGATGCTTTCACAAAATACGCAGTTGTGATACCTATCAAATCTAAACAGCCTGAAGATGTAGCACATGGAATAGTAGAAGGACTGCACAAAATGGGAAGGACGCCCAAGATGGTTTACGCAGATACAGAAGGTTCATTTACATCTAACATTATTCAAGACTATTTTAAGAAAGAAGGCATTGAATTATATTTAACAAGAGGTCATGCACCGATGGCCGAGCGCTTTATAAAAACTTACAAAGGGATGTTATACAAAAGACTGGAGCACGACGAAAAGAAGGGAAAAGAAAATATACAATGGACAGATTATAATTTTGAAGTATTACTTACTTATAATAATAAAATGGTTCATTCTACAACTGGATACACACCACAGGAGGCACGGAAGAAAGGCAATGAACTTAATATAGCATTGAATATATCAATGAAAGCAAAGAAAAACCGCAAGTATCCTGAACTGGAAGTTGGAAGCAAAGTTAAGATATTGAGGAAGAAGGGCATAACAGAAAAGGAACGAACCAGCCACTGGTTGAAAAGTGAGCATACAGTTGAAAAAATAACCAAAAAACTTGGGCAAGAGTATTATGAAGTTAGTAATTATTCAAAGCCACTCTTAAGGCATGAAATGCTGAAAATATGACAAAAAGGGAATAAAAAAGTATATTAAAGAATATTTCACTTAATATAGTAAGATATGACAGAAAATAAATACAAGAATGGCAAAATATACAAAATCATAGATATTGGATATAGCATGTGCTACATAGGCTCAACCATTCAGCCATTGTCAAAAAGGTTCGGTCATCATCGCGATACCTTTGAAACTCATCCTTGTTCATCAGCAATCATATTCAAAACTTACGGCAAAGAGAATTGCAAATGTGAATTAATAGAAAACGTCCCTTGTGAAAACAAAGAACAATTAAAAGCCCGTGAAGGGTTTTACATTGAAACTATGGAATGTGTAAATAAGCTTATGATATTATGAAAAAAATAAAGAAACACATTTGGCTAAATCCAAGGCATATTACCAAGACCACAAGGACGAAATCAAAGCACAAACGCAAATATACAGAGAAAACACCAGAGAGCATAAAAGACAAGTGGATAAACAGTATAGACAAAACAATAGAGACATGTTAAAGGCGAAACAATTAGAACAGATATTATGTGAGTGCGGGTGTTATTCTGTGAGGTCAAGCATTGCCAGACATAGAAGCTCCAAAAAACACAAAGACTTGATGGAACAAAAGCATAATGAAAATGATTAAAACCATACTATAATAATAACATTTATACCCTTATATGTTATAGTTATATTTCAATATTTAATTTTATTTCTTGGAAAAAAGTATTTAAAGAAATAAAAACTATATATATTATAATAGAAATGTTATTTAATTATTCAAAGTGCGAATGTTGTACAACTAAAAGGAATGATGTTAATACAACATTGTATAAGTTATTACCTGCTAATCTATGTAATAAAATAAGTGAATATGATGTATATTGTAATCAATGCTGTATAACAAGAGACCTTGAAAAGTTTTTTGTTGAAGAACATAAGGATAAGGGATATACAAAGTTTCAATTACAATTGCAATTCTTTATGAAATATCAAAAACGATGTCCTGTATGTTTTTACCATAAAATTGCTAGAAAGTCATTCGAAAAAGAAATTAATGAGTTCTTTAATAATAAAGATTTAATTAAGAGGTTTGGAGGGACAAGCGCAATTAAACCATATAAAGCATTTGTTAAAAAATTTCGACGCATGTTTGATGCGATTGATTGGCATTTATTAAGTAAAGATAAAATAAACGAGGTCTTGAATGAATTTAGAATAACTAAATATCATGTATGGTCTTACTACAACACTAAATATCAAGTATGGCTACTAGTTAATTTGTTTTTCTGGGAATATATTTATTCAATAATAGGAAAAGACAATATCAAATATATAGACATTGGTGATATTGATAGATATGTAGATTACATATTTGAAGACATATTTCCTGACTATAAATTTAACCCATAATTATTAATCATACTATAATAATAACATTTAAAATATTATATGTTATAATTATAATGTAAGTATAGCGTTTTATATATTGAAGATAAAATCCTACAAGGAGGATGCGAGCGTTAGCGAAGCTCGCAAGCTATGCGACCACGCCTAAACATATATATGATGAAACTGATGAAACGAAGGAGGAGAGTGATGTTGTTGCTGTTCTATTTTTTGTCCGGGAAATGGACAAATCGTTTTTAGACAGTTCGAATATTTTTTTGATGACAAATATTTTTTGCAATATATTTTGCAAAATTTATTTTTTTGAAATGGATGAGGCGAGGAGATTGAGGAAATGATATTTTGAGAGGTATATGGTGAAATGAATGAGGCGAGGAGAAAGGAGAAAAGGATGGCGAACATTTTGGAAAAATGATGAGAAAAAAACGGATGAGATGGACAGAAAGGAATGTAGAAAAATGATGAAAACAAATAAGGGTAGAAGATGGAAGATGAAAAAAAATGTAGGGGGGGGTGTATGTATGAAGCAATTTATTTGCTAGGCGTGGCCCTCCACTACTGGAACGGACCAAATGGATTTTGGCCTTTTTTCCTGGTCTTTTGGACAACTCAGCCAGGTTTACTCTTGGACACCGAGGCTCTGGCGCGGCATGCCGATGCCCTGCCACCCTCGCCGGACCAGGCGCAGGGGCCCGGGGCCCAAGATCAGTGGCTCAAGGTTCGTGCGATCAGAGCAGTGGCCCAGCGGCCTGAGGCAAAGCTCCTAGAATATGGCAGTCCACCAAAGCGCCAAAAAAACAAACACCTCGGAATAGGCCATCCAAAAATAGGAGGGGGATAGTTCAGCGGTCTAATTGTCTAATTACTTTGCAGTTGTTCAAGGGTTGTTTGTCAAGGTCACAATCAGTGTTGGTGTTTGTTTCCGACTTGCCAGACGCCGGGAACCCAACTTGACACTGATAAACGGATGGCGCGCTTGGGTTCACGAGCTAAGTCTGGTGAGTTGATTGATGTGGATGTGATTCGCATGTTTGTTTGTTTGTTTGTTTGTTTGTTTGTTTGTTTGTTTGTTTTTTGTCTGAATGTGCTGGCAGCGCAAGCTTTGGCATTTGTGTATGGCAAGCACGCGTCCTGAACCGAACTGAGTCTCCGAACTTTAGTGGGCAGAAATGCATTTGTTCGCAGATCTGGATGTTTCGTTGTAAAGTGTTCAAACGTCCGGTCAGGTGGTTTTTCATCGAGTAGTATACAAAGAGCACTCGCAGGCGACAGTGAAAAGAGACCTTGTTTTGACACAGCCGTGTGTCCAATCCCTGGCGGTCCCTGTCGGAGGCTTTTTCCCTTTCGCAAGCTTTCGCTGGACCTTGGTTTCATATTGGCTCCCCTATCAGAAGCCCGTCTTCCCAAACTGTCTTGACTAGGCATTTGAGCAACAGACACATTTGCCAGGGTACAGGTTGGTAATTCTCCATTCTATCGGTTTATCCCTTGATGTCTAGCATTGGGATCCACATGGGGACTGAATCTGCCGAATTTCGGCTCATAGCCTCAGCGGCGCTCGCCCGTCTCGTCGCGAGCGGGCGGTGCCGTGCGCCTGGGCCGAACAGGACAGACGGTTCTACTGGATTTATCCTTTGGCTGCACCAAATTCTACAAGCTTTCGGTTGAGGCCTAAAGCTGGGAGGCTGAGTTGAGTTGGACCTACCTTCAGCACTGAAGGTCCCAGGATAATGTTTCCCATGACAAACTCTCTCAGCAGCACCCATATGTCCGCTTTTTTTCCAGGTTGGCGTCTCTTGACAAGTGAGCTAGCCAAAGAGTTGGTCTTGTTTCCGATTTGAAGATGCTGGACCAGACATTCCAAAGTTGATTCCCTCAAGCCCGTCGGGAGGGACAAGCGATGTGCGCGAGGATGCCGGTGCGCATCGTCAAGAAAGATGACCTGAGGAAGCTGGGCCAATTCCGGACGTGGGTGACGCTTTTGGGGCACTGTACCCCTTCAACAGGTTTCACTGTAGGGTGCACAATGGGGGTCTTTAAGGTTGCCCAGCCTTCTTGATGATATTCGCACCATCTGTGGTGTGCAACTTAAAGCAGTCCATGTCATAGCTATGGGGTTTCTTGGCTTCCCCACAACTCCGCTTGTTACCAAATGAGAAGACAACGTGCTGCTGAGCAAAGGGCTTGCTCTGGGAGCTGGTGGTGTTTGGCCACTGGCTATTGGGGGGTTGATGGGCCAGGTTTTTCGAGGGTTGATGGGCCAGGTGCACAGGGAGTTGGCTTTGTTTGGCAGGCGGGCTCCCCTTTCAAATCAACCAGAACAAGGGTGCGAACCTTTGCGTTTGCTTTCCTCTTTGAGAGTTTCCCTTGCAAGCAAAGCGAGTGGTGCCACTTTTTTTTGTGCACTGGGAAGGCAAGAACCTGAGCGCTCATTCAACATCCCACTCTCGAATTCTCGAATGTGGGGCGCTCATAGACTCCCGTGTGACTTCGGCTTTCTTCGACACCCATTAAGTTTGGTCGCTGGGGCATCTTGGTGACAGGATGTTCCCGTTGAACCCTAACACCCTCGGAACTTGGACTGCCTCAACCGAGATGACACGTGGCTTTTGTCGAATCGGAGATTTCTCTGGCATGACCGGCCACCTGTTGCCCGTTACAGCGAACCAACGAGGGATCCAAAAAGTGTTACGACATATTCTTAGGTTTTTGTCATAGTCGTTGGTTTGAGATGCAGCATTCGAAGACCATACCGGCCGCAAGCTGAAATCATGAGAAGAGCCATTAAATCCAATTAAATCCAATGAGGCTTTGGGCCTTCTCCCCCATTGCTGATGCAGGGAAGGTGGAAGATCATGAACAGGCTTGCGATTTAAATGGCAGCGATTCTTTGAATTTGAACGGGCCTTTGGGTTCTGAGGGCTGAAGAGCCACAACTCTAAATGGCCAGACCCGTCCCTTGTCCGGTGGTAAAATAGTAGAGGATTCATCTCAAAATGCACCTTCAAGTCTTTTTTGATTTGGCGGGTTTCACACTGAGGCTGACGGCAAACCGCAGAGGCCCCCATTTTGAGCCGCATTTGGACGATCCAAGTTTGAGTGTTTGAGTCCGAGTCTTCCCCTCGCCGGAGTTTCAGGAAAGTTTATCCGCCGAATGGCATCCCCACGGCCAAGAACCAGACGCCGGATGACTTCCTCTTCCAGGCCTTTGGTTCCCAAATTGCTCATTAATGATATTGGCACACCGTGTGCCCGCGAGTTTGTGAAACCAGTTGAGCCAACTTCGAGGTTCGTCTGATCTCATTGTACCGAGTCCTGTGCCATGTCTGCTAGATGTGATGCAAAGCCTGTGGCAGTAAGCTGGCAACGGACGCGATCAGGTTCCTTGGACCATGCATCAGCTCGTGTCCCATTCCAACCAGGCAGCTCCACAAGGTGTCGGGCCACCCTGGAGTCAAAGGAACACACCTTTACCGTTTTCGTGTATTTTCATTTTAAGGATTCGATTTTGGAATTCTTTGGGTTGAGTCACATGAGGTGACCGTCTCAGGGTACTTTACTCTTTATGGTTTTGGATCGCTCCCACTTCATCAATCAGCCAGGAATTGAGCCAGGACCATTGCAGAAGGTTTCCGGTTTCAACACCGTTACCACACAGGTCAAACAAAACATCCGTGCTGCTGCTTCCAACCCGGGGGGGGGGGGGGGCAGGGGTTTCGTTGCACTCGCCAAGCCAGGCCTGCCAGTATTCCGTGAGCACGGCCACTCTGGAGAGAGCTCTCCAGAAGGTGCGAGCCTTTGGGGGACCGGATGGCAATGGAGCTGACTGGTGTCAACTTCATGTGGTCCACAATCAAAGCCCGGGTAAGTGAAGTAAGGGACGATCCCAGCCATAAATAGCTGCGGATATCCGCCTTCCTAGTTCTTTACATGGTTCTGGGTCGACCATTTTTGTACCGGGTATTGATTGTGACTCATGTGGTCCAGGATGTGTATAACTCGTGATGTCCATGAGAACCATGACAGGAGGAGTTTTGACCAAGGCACGCGTGTTTGATCCCACTAAAAGTGCTGGGAAGGTGTGGAGGGACATCCGATTTGATGCTTGGGACAAGTTTTGCTGTCTTTGAACGGGAATTTATGAAGATCAATGATTTGCGATGCTCACCCGCAAGCTTGGTTGTTAACATAGCAAAGACAAGTCACTGACAAGAGGAGAATATGGAGCTGGGGGTGGCATAGAGTCTCAGAATTGTCATGAGGCCAACATTGACTGACCGGCAAGTTATTTGTCCTGGTTCGACCTGCCACGAAAGAAACACACCCAACGATCGAAGTCTGCTATTTAGGCTTGGATCTTACAAAATGGACTGAGGGAGCCACGGTTGTTGGCTAAAAAAATAGGGTATTCCCAACATTTTTGCACTTCCTGGTTTTGCCCACACTTCTACATTCCACCACACCAGGGATTTGGGCGGTGATCGATCTTGACCCACACGCTGCTCTTGAGCTCTTGCAGGGGGTGTGATGTGTTCATGGCCGGCACGTGTGTGTGTGTGTGTGTGTTCCCTTCTTGCTTCTGTGGCTTTCAAGCTTTGTTAGCACAGACAGATCACCCCCTTGACCCGTTGCTCCTTCAGAGGGTCTCGGATTCATCAGGCAGCTTTCAGGAAGCCGCCCAATGCCTTTTTATCAATGTGACTACGTGGGGAGTTGTGCAGAAAGAGGCCGTTTGTGTTTTTGTTTGACTTTAAAGAGGGTCGGCAAAGGACGCCATGATGTTGTCAAGCCGCCCAGATTCACAGAGAGTGATCGAACCGTCAGCTTTGCTGACTTCACCATCCGAGGAGCGCCCTAAAGGCCGGATCCCCTTAGGTGAGATTCGTCATATGAGCACCTCACAAGCTTGTTGCTTCTTGGTGGTCTGTTTGTAGCCCACCCTATGCCAAATCTTCACCGTAGCCCATGTCAGTCTCCACTGTTTGTGTTTTTGTTTCCTTCAGCTATGCTTACTTGACGTGTTGGGATCGATTCAAACGCGGTGCACCCTACAGGTTCAAAGAGCAGTTCCTTTTTGAAATGCCGTGCATTTCAAGATAGCCATAAGCAAGGCCTAACTTTTTCGTAAGCGCACCAATTAAGGGTACGAACATGGACACAACATTAGATCAACAAAAGCTAGTTACTTGTAACTTGTAATTCAAATGCGCCATGTAGTGAAATGGTTCATGGTCAACCAGCAACATTCAAGGGAATCATCCACAATGCTAAACTCCAACAAATCCATCATATTGATGAATAATATCACTCATTTGGGAGCTGCCCGCAACATTAGGCGCCTTGCGCATGTTTTTTGCAGTGTTATAGCTGTCCTTCTCACGTCGCGTGGAGTGCCAAGTTCTTTTTCTTTGGAGCAAGTCCGTAAGTCCCAGTGAGATCAGTTTTGTTTGGTCGGCCATTCCCGGCCGCAGAACGCCAACGTGAACGCCCGCAACAAGGAGGGCAACACGCCCCTGATGCTTGCTTGCCGGAGCGCCCAGAGATCTTGCCAGGCGAAGCACTTCCTTGTCTGCATACCCAGGCTTCAGATTGGGGGAGGAGGGTGAGCGCATGAATTCTATGTGTGGTTCCATTACTGTTGCTTGTGAATGGGTTCGCTTGTAGCTAATGTCTTACTCTTATGCATGAGGGATGTGGTGCGGGCTCTGTTGGTTGAAATCATGTCTTTTGGGATGACTAGGGTTTGTTGGGGCTTCTTTTTTTGGGACAACCAGGGTAAACAATTGCAGCAAGACATAGCTCACGTAAGGTCTGACCGCAGCGCATCCAGAGCGAAAACGCTGATTCGGTTTGGGGTTGCCTCCAGCCAGCTGAAAGAGAGGCATTTTAGATTTGATCCTCGGAAGTCGCTTCAAGTGCCATTCAAAATCAACCAACATCCAACCGTAGACAGGCGGCTTGTTTTTCCTTTGGCCACTGGAAGCCTATGTCTTGCGCGGCGAAGCCTCGTACTTGTCTTTGCCGGTCAGTCGTTTTGCACTGCTTAGCCAAGCTAAAGTGCGCTTTCTGTTGGTAGGCTGATGTGCAATGGGAAATATCATAAGGGTCCCAACAGCTTGATGATTGTTTTGGTCTGACGCTCTGACGTCCGGGAAACATAACGAACCTTGTCCCAACGATGGCTGTGCATGAGGTCAGAACTGGACGGGCTCTCAGTACCTGGCCTTCATCAACAAGCTGCTGGACCTTTGGGCCCAGTTCAGACAGCGTTGAGGGCGCTGAATAGGCCATAAGGTTTTTGAGGTGTCCTCAAGGACCAAAGAGGAATCGGATCAGTTTCCATCGAGTTTAACACCCAGTGGGAAGTTTATGGTAAGTGCACACAAATCTTCTTTCGCTCCCATCCTGGAGGCTATTGTCCGCTTGCGACTTTCGTCCCAAAAGAATGACCAAGCCCAAAGCGTCGTAGAACTTGGGGTTTTGCAACATAGATGCCTACAACTGAGTAGGTTCCCTTTGACTGCCCTTCAAACACCATCCAAAAGGGACCCCGATTCAGCCAAGACTCAAATGTTGTTAAGGTGCCTTGTTTGTTTCTGTGCAGACGCCGACGCTCTACCTTCGTGCTACCGTTGACGCATTGCCAACTGCTTAGCAACGTAGGTTCCCCATTGCAAAAATCACCTGCCTGCACTCTGGAACTGCCCCGCACAAAAAGGATGCTGTTTTTTGGAAAGCACTGGGCAACCGTCCTTAAGTGTCCAAATCGAATCAGCCCTTTGACTGTTGGGCAACTGTGGCTGCCCCAAACGATTGATGCCCTTTGTTTCCAGGTTCTTTGGTTGCAAGTTAGTAGATTGTTGGATGTGTTCCCTCGTGAGCCAGAAACAGACCACCATATGCCACCATTTACAAAGCGATGTTTCTGAAGCTATGTGTTCTTAGGGGTTTCCTGGCATTGGACGTTTGTAGCCCTGGCGATATGGTACGTAAAGAGACGCAGAGACAGGCCCAGAGGAATGCTTTTCTTGCTTTGGGGCATTTTGCTTGGATGTTAGGACTTTAACTTTTTGCCAACTAATGGCTTTTCGATTAAGACACTAAAAGTTAGTCACTTTTAGCAGGGGAGCAGATTTCGCAACCAAGTTTTGGGATTCAGGAGCAGAAGGCAGATGTGAATGTGGAGAGTGGCTGGGGCTTTACACCGCTGGACAAGGCAGGGACGAGTTCCTGCCATGGCATCTTGTGCAATCGCGTGTCTCTCGTTTTGTTATATGGCTGTGGTTGTCAAAACCGTTTTGGGATCTCATTTTGGTTGGTAGGTGAATGCACCACCCATTTTAGAACCTGGGGATTGGGATGTTCATTGGGGGGCTAACCGATGGTGTTGTGCATAAAGATGCTGCCATGACTTGGTATGGGAATCAACGGGATTTGCCAACATGCCAAACAAATGTTGGCTCTGGCGCTGAGCGCTTTTCGCCTGTGCGAAAAGGACATGGAGTGCTGGCCAGCCCCCAGGTGACAGAGCTTCTGAAGGAGCAGGAGGCTGCAAGGAAACAAGAGATGCGGAACCAGGAGGCGGGATTTGGGGCGTATGGCTGGCCACAGGTAAAGCCGCTGCGCCACGCGCCGATGGGGTGGCTTGGGGTTGGTGGCAAATTGATGGATTGGTTTGCGGGTGGAGTAGGTGGGTTTGGGGTTGGTTCAAAGTTGTTTAGGGTGGCTTCGGGTTGGCCTCGGGTTGATTAGGCTTGGCCTGGGGTTGGTCCAGGGTCGGCTTGAGCTTGTCCCGGTGGGGGCGGTGCTGTCGGAGTCTCCAGGTTGGGATGCAGGTTTGGAGACTCAAAGCGGGTGGCGGGTGTGGCAGGTGTAGGATCCAGTGTCTTTTTCTTTGGGGCGGGGGGGGATCCTGAAGACCCGTTTGGGTGGAGGAGGTAGCAACATGGAACATGAGACAGTTATGTACAAGTATGCTTGTATGGGTGTCAATTGTTGATGGACCCTTTGGTAGACACCATTTAGGTGGGGGTTGTGTCCACCAACCACTTTTGGAGCGGTTCCGTCAAACTCCAGAGGCATATGTGTATATATATATATATATACACCCGCCATACTCATGTTTGCCGTGGCTTCATGCAAATACAAATACCACGCAGAGCGATGAACGCGACGCTCTAAGATTTGTTGACTTGGTTGCAGCAACTGTTTGATTCTACTTTCAGGGCGCCCATTTGCCTGCCAGAGTGTGAGCCAGCTCCTGGGCCGAAGTGAACATGGCTCGCGGCGACATTCCTGAAGGCTTTGTGGCAGGTTTCAAAGAAGCCTTTACCCTTCGATGGGAGCTTTGCGCAAGGATGACAAAACAATTGCGTGTTCCAGAATCGTATTAAAATGTTTTAGTTGAGCAGTAGTTGGCACAACTTGGCCTCCTGGCCCTGGAGCCATTCGGGGTGAGTCCCCCGAAAAACCGAAAATGGACAACGGCAAGGGGATGCAAGGAATACGGCATAAATGGTTTCCTTCTCATCCCATCACTTTTCAGCAGACAATGGAATACATGGGTATGGGTCAAAATTAAACTACCAGGGGACAGGTTTTAGTCCATGTTTCCATTTGCCGGGGCAAGCCATTTTGGGCATGTATTTTTGACCCACAGCCACATAAAGCAGCTTCTCATGCTGGGAGAGCCTTGGAGCCAGGAGAGGCGAGAGATCATGGAGGGCCGCAGCATCGTGGGCTACGGCTTTGGCACCGCCGAGGTGCGCTAAAACCTGCTGGACTCATCTGAACCACCGGTGAAAGCCCATGGAGTCGAAGGATGCCGTTTTTCTTATCAATATATATATATATATAGTGACAGAATCATCATTGTTCTTTCGGCTACGCTAAGGGTTTCTTAGGCAGTCTTGGGTTTATAAAGCTTGCGGTTGAGGGGAGGGTATGGAGGGGCAGAGGGTGGCCTCAAAGCATCCGCCAAGACTGGCTGAAGGCGCTAGCTTCGATGGTTGCTTTCGCCCGTTTTCTGTTGCCCGGCAAATTGAGTCCATGGATCCAACTGTTTCCGGGTCGGTCGGTCGGTTTATATGCATTGGCGGCAAGGGAACAGCAGCTCAGCATTGCTTGGGCCTGTTTCCAGTTGGTCTGTTGGGCTGGCTTAGGGTATGCCAAGTGCCGGCTTGTTTCGGGGCTTGGGTCTCCGTTCCAACTCAACCAACAACCAAAGGGCATGTGAGCCACAATCAAAACCCGGGTAGATGAAGGTTAGTAAGGGACAATCCCAACCATAAATAGCTGCAGCCGCCTGCTAAATTCTTGAAGCATGCTTCTGGGTCAACCATTGTTGTACCGGGTTTTGATTATGACTCATGTAGTGTGTTGTTCCTCTTGCGAGTCTCCCAAGCGACAGCGCCTTTGAAGCTCCCTTCAGGAGCAGCGGCAGCGGGAGGTGCCCAATCAGCCGCTGGCAGACGAGCTGGACACCTTCAAATGTTTGCCCCAACTCCGCGACCCTCGGCTGAAGCGAACGAAGGGATTCAGTATTTGTCTTGCTTTTAAGGCAAGCATATGGCTCCAAGAATATGTTGTGCCCACTTCCGACGTGAGCCTCTTCCTGCATGGTGTTCACGACAACAGTCAAAAGGCCAAGCAGCCAGAGGTGACAAAAGGCTAACCAGCGAGAGGTGACAGCAAGTGACAGCACTATTGGTTGCAAAGTTGGGTTTGGGCAAAAGAGTTGCATGGGCCTCCTTAAAGAGAGCCCGCAACAGGTCAATATGTCGAAGACGGTGGTTCGCGCTCGATTGAACAAGCTGCCCCAGGCCCTGAAAGACCCATCTTTCCTCCATGCGCTTACCGATCCGGAACAGAACGAGGGCCCATGAAGATCCTCCACTTGAAGAAAGGATCCAGTGGGAATGGTCTGACCCGATGTATGCAGATCTCGGTGAGGCGCTCAGGCAAAGCAAGCCTCACCCTAACACTCCTGATGATTTTTGGGCCCTCAAGATGGGTTGCTTTTAAGGGCCCCTGAGGGGTCCGGGTTCTTCATAGGGCCCAGGGGCCTGCATTGGAGGGGTGAGCCTTAGGGCAGGCAACAACTTACCATCCAACTGAACCCTCCGGATTCGTTGGGAGCGGCGTCCGAATCCGAGGAGTGCAAAAAGCTTCTAGAGCAGAAGGGCGCCAAGTGCGGGGAGGCGCCTTTCAACCCCGCCTACCTCACCACTGAGGCGGGCGGCGGGATCCACCGAGGGTTCCACGGTTTTTTTGTTGTTGTTGGATCGACGGAAATAGCCCCTTTGCCTGTTTCCCATTCAACCAGCAAAGAAGTATAATGTGGCAAAGGGGGGACAATGGACTACTTGCCCCCCATGTTTCCAAACATTTGGGCGGTTGTGTTTATGGATTGTATATGAATGTGGTCATTTCCCACCCCAACCCTCATCTAGGGAATGTGTGCAAACATTCGATTGGCAAAAGTCCGGCCCCACGCTTCTGGCAACATGGTGAATGCCTTTGCATGCAGAGAATAATAACAGTTTTGACCTCCCCCATAGTGGAACGTTCCATGCATGGTTGTATGGGCCGGGCACCAATGGCACGGAGGAGGCACTAGTGGGACAGAGGTGAGACAATGAAAGCGAAACACATGGCCATGGGTCAAAAGCCCGTACTCCCAGTGACTGTCCCAATCCCCAAAATAAACTAAAATGGGTGGTGCACCTACTATGGTACCATTGGTTTTGACCCACAGCCACATCTCTGTTTCGACTGAAGATTGCTCGGTGTCCCTGCGGTTGGTTTGTGCTGGGCAAAGCTGAGTCAGCACCGTACGGAGAAGTTTTCGTAGCGCACCAGGGTACCAGAGAGTCGGGAAGCGATGGGAAAGACTGAGGGCCTAGCCGGGGTTCCTGCATTTTACAGCTTGCAGTCCATGCAACCATGGAGCAACGCACGCCAGCCTGCAGCCAGCAAATCGGATCATGGCCTCGCTCAGTGTGGTTTGAGGTTTAGAGGTTTAACCTTTTGACCTTTGTGACCTGGACGAAAGTGCATGAAAGGTTCATCAAAGAGCTTCGAACTGGGATCCCTTAGTTGGACCGGGCTTTGAGGACCGCAGAGTGCGAGGTGTTGGGCGGAATTCCACCCAGTCCGAAGAGCTGAAGCCATGGATGTGGCCACTTCGCCCGAGGCTGGTCGACGACTATCAGAGATCAATGACTTTGTTGGAGACGTGCTGACTCCATGGGAGATTCAGCCTCTGGAAGTTGGTTGTTTTTCGGAGGCTTTGCGACAAGATGTGGATGTCTTACTCTCAGAGATGGGAACTGTGACCGAGGCACAGCAGAGCGTGATCCGCGTTCTGCAGGAGAGTCTAGTGGGACGGCGGCTCCGCATTTGCCCAGAAGCCCCTTTGATGCCGAGCTATCGTTATGAAGACAACTGCCTGGTTCCCGTGTCCAAGGAGTTGCCGCCATACGAGGTGCACATTCTTTCCATTGAGCTGGTGGGATCCCAGGGGCAGATGACGCAGGTGCCGGGGTCGGATCTGGATGCGGTGGCGCTGCTGGACTTCGCCTTCGCCAAAGACTTCGAGGCTGTGAAGGAAGACTTCATGATCCACGGCCATGAAGCCCTCCGCAATGCCATGATCGGCTGGCTGCGGCAGAATCCCAAGGTTGGTCTCCGGGATGAAGCAGAGAGCCTTCACAAGTCCAGGGTTGAGTGCACTATTGATAACATGGAGGTGGATGTCTTGCAGGCCATGCTTCCGCACCATCTCACGGTTGATGATATGAGGATGCAGAAGCCTGGGGTGTGGATTAAGGCTTACAGCCTGACTCTTGGCTTTCAGAGTTCAGCCGTGCAACAAACCTGTGACCCAGACATTGTTGGTTCCCCAGCATGCATGTTCTCTCAGTGCCAAAAGGCTGGCCTTTTCTCACATCCGATGTTTTGGGCAAGTAAGATTAGACTCATGGCACAACAGAGGCCCCAGATTGGGCAGATTGGCCAGGAGGTGCTCCGAAAAGTGAACCATGCTGACTCCAAACGGATGCTATCAGAGGGGTCGTGATGGGCTAGTGCCACGTTGCGCTACTTGTTCAATTGTGTCCCAGATGGGGTCATCACTTTGTAACCTAGGAATGTGCGGAAGACTCGCTGGGTGGCAGCGCAGCATCAGATCGTCCGGGATGCTGCGAGACTCATGAAGCTTTGGGCACGCCAGGTTCGCGAGGAAGAAGCAAAAGAACTGGATGATGAGGAGCTACACCCCAAGATCAACACGTATGCGCTCACACTGCTGCTGGCTGCCTTACATCTGTCTGCTGCTTCAAACTTTTCCTTGGAACTGTGCGCTCGAGCCTGGCGCGTGTTGGCCTCACTGCGCGTAGATCTGCTTGCAGTTGTCAGCTTTGATCGCAACTTCTCAGCTAGACTGTCTCGCGGCCCGCGCTTCCATCCGGAGTTGCTGATGGCTCTGAACTTCCAGGGTGTCGAGCTGTACGGGCTCATGGTTGAAGATATCGTGCAGGTAGACCGCTTTTATCCGTGTGGAACCCTGCCCACCTGGAAGCTGGCCACTTTTGCCAGTTCCGCTCTGATGCAACTGGCGTCAGCGCAGACGTGGGGGCAACTGCTTGCTCAACACCCGCCAGCCGGCGTGCAAGAAGAGCTCAGGAGGTTCTCTTCTTCCATGGAGGCACATTGGTCCTTTTTCCGCGGGCTAGCAGCGGCCAGGTGCCCTAATGGTCACCAACTAGACTTGGGCGTGCTGGGCATGAGCCTGGAGTGTGATGAGTGCCAGCTCAGAGGCGATGGGATGCATATGCTGGGGTGCCGACAATGCGATTTCGATCTTTGTCGAGCATGTGCCAGCGCCGTCCGCATGACATGTAGCCAATTCCCTGTGCCAGCTTCGCTTGAGCAGCTCCTCAATGCAAAAGATGCGATGTGGCATGGCTGAGCCCTTTGATGGGGGTCACCCCTTGGTCCCAACTTGAACAGTTTGCACTGATCCATTTTTGAAACAAGCGGACTGGTCTGCCCACGTGTTTTTTCCCACTGATTCATGGTTTGTTGATCCGAAGTTGCTGGATCTCTGCGGCTCGTAGGCAACACATGTCCATTTGTTTCCCGTTTTGTTTGACCGTCCCATTCCGGGCCGAAGCAGTGGGGTCACTCAGGTTGGGACTTTGTGCTCATCAGTAGGGGGGATCCCCTTTCGGATGGTGTGGGCTGGTGCCATCATCCATAAGCGCCATGAGTTCATAACCTCTGCCGGCGGGAATTTTCAGGAGAAATGTTCAAAGGAGGCTGTGGTCAATTTTCCGTTTGGCTTGCACAGGAGTTTGTGGAGAGGCGGGACGCCATCCTAGAGAAGTACAAGGACAGCTGGGAGTCCGTGGCATATACTGTTTTGTGTTTTGTTCTCGTTGCTGAAACAATTCTAGGGGTAACTTCCCCATTCTTTCCAGGAATCCTTCTTTCTAGAAAACCACCAAAAGAAATGGCTTGTTTTCGAAGAGAACGATGGCTTAAAAGAATGGGGAATCAACCCCTAGTCGACAAAAAGAGGAACGAGCAAAGGGAACCGGGTGGACAGCTTCCCTTTGTTCGTTCCGGCTTATGTCGGCCAATTTTACCGGCAGAAGATCAGCTGGCCTCAAACTGGGATGTCAAAGCACAGGGTGATGTACTCTGTTTTGTGCAGATTTCCCCTGCAACTATCGACAACCACAATGAGTATCTTTTTTCATGTGTCCCGGAAGGGCCTCCCGAGGGAGGGCCTCCTCAGATTTGGTCTTCTTGCATGTTCTTCATGATGCGTGATTGTTGTTGGGGGTAGTTTGCTCGAATCTAGCTGCAATTGCGCAACTGCGCCAAGTGCAAGGGCAACTGCTGCGGCAAAGGTCGGGCCCGCAAAGCAGGAGCGAGAAGCCAAACCTGCTGTGATTCCCAAGTGAGGTGGTTTAGATTACCAGTGAGATGTTGACGGCAGCCCAGTCTCCCAAATCAAGCAAGAATTTTGGAGGGGTTCCAAAATGTAGGAAAGCGCAATTGGTTGCTAGCAGGGCCTATTAATGCCTGTTCAGCCTCAATAAGCCTTGATAAGGCTTATTAAGGCTTCAATAAGAAGGCTTAATGTGGTGGGGAGGCCCCCCACCCAAGACCTGCACAGGGACACGCTTTTTACCCGCCTCCTTCCCCACCCCCTTCCTTCTTTTCCCCCCTTTCCCTCCCCCTCCGTCCCGTCCCCTCCCCTCCCTTCCCGCCCCCTCCCCTCCCCTTACCACTCCTCTTACTTCTCAAAAAGAAACAATGCTTTGGTCTTTTCAAAGATTCGATGCAATTGGCCAGACAGCGGTCAGTCAGTCAATCTGTTTCAAACTTAATAAGGCTTAATGAGGCTTAATAAGGCTTAATATGGATTCAGCCCTATTTCCTCAAATCTGGGGAGGCCCTCCCTCGAGAGGCCCTTCCGGGACACATGGTATTTTTTGGCCGCCGCTCATTGGGAAATATATCCGTAAGCTGTTGCCTGAGCCATACATTACATTTTGGTGTACACGAGCGATGTGTAGGCCTGACGCATCAAACGCTGCCAGATGGTGAGGCTACAATGCAAGCAATGGATAGTGGACCGACCCTCTGTTGCGCGTGGAACAAGGGACGACCCCTGAGAAACAGCTCTGTCAGGTTCCGTCATGGAAGGTCTTTTCTGTGACGCTAGCCCTATTGTGTTTTTGTTTTGTCCCATTGTTTGTGCAAAGGTTGGCTTTATGCTGGGGCCAGATCCTACTGAAAGGGTCATCATTTGATATGAGGGTGCACCCTTCTATCAGCCATTTGCATCAAGGGCTGGAGGTTACCCTCAGCCAGGCTGTTTTGACTCTTTGACTCCCCTGTACCCCCCCGCTTCCGTCCAGGATCTCGCATATTCAGAAAATCACCCAACATCCTGCAGGTTTGGATGTGTGTTTCTGGGAACCACGGTCGAAGGGTACGACGGTCTGGTTGCTCGCACAGGTTTTAAGACCCTCGCAAGGTGTATCAAGGTGATTGCTCCTCCCCGAGAAATCCACTGAGTTCTGGCTTGATTCCTGTTTGAGTGCTTGCAGGCAGGACACCAGATCAATAGGAGACCCAGGTTGCACTGCTTCACCCGAACTTGCCTGAATTCAATGTCAAAAGTCTCAGCGCCCAGCAATTGGAGTCCTGCTTCTCAGGTACATTTAGACATGCTGCGGATGAGCATGTTTGCAAACAAGAGTTGTTGTTTCTTAACCTAACAGGCATTTGCGGGGAACACAAGCAATCCCTGTAAAGATGTAAAGAGGGTGTGTGTTCAACTTACACTCAGGGCCCAAGACCCCAACAAAGGATGATGTTCAGGGGAACAAGGATGAACTTACCCATTGGAGAGGTCCCCTATGTCAGGAAACTTGTTTGCGGTGAAGGCACGATTGGCAAGCGCAAGCGGAGAAGGGAGCTCACCTTTTCTTGCTTTTGGCCATGCAATGGTCGTCACTACCCTGGGACAGGGTTGCAGCGCAGGCTACCCTAAAAAGGATCAGAGAGAAGGTGGCATAGCTAAGGCACATGGCCAGGGTGTACAGTTACTGGCTGTGTTTTGCAACCGGTAAGTTGTTAATCGATTCAAAGGGGTGAGTCCTTTGCAAGGCGCATGTTGATGTGGCTCATTCAGGCCAACAGGCTGACATGTTTGACACGGTGCTTGCCCGCCTGTTCCAAAAGGATTAATCATTTGGCAGCTACAAGCTGATGCGCTCAATACAATGTGTGTTGGCTTGTTTGTTGACAGGCGCAGCATTTCATGGATGGAGAGATGCAGACTCTCGACAGGACGCGAAGTACAAGTACACTGGCCACTGACGCGCTCGCTGAAAGGAGCACGTGCTGGAAGGTGTAGTGCCTCTTCCCTATCCTCGTTGCGCTTGCGATGCTGGATTCATAAAGGCTTTAACCCGCCACCTTGCGCAGCTTCCTTGCTTAATGATGATGCATTCGCAGGAGTAATGTGTGTTATTGTTCAGGCATGTGATGTACAGCTCCTCTTTGCAATATTCTATTTTGTGGATTTGCACAAACAAAACGATATACTATTGCCAATGCCACGAATCCAAGATACCCCGCTATGCACCGTACGTCCGAGCAGAGCACAACCTGTTTACCATGTTGAGCAGCACACAAGGCGGAATCCACGGTTCCTGACATGAGCGGCGCGTGCGAAAAAGAGTGCCCGGTGAGTGTGTGTTGTGCTTGGGTGTGTGTGTGTGTGGGTATGTGTGTTTGTGTGTATGTGGATGGATGAATGGATCGGCGTGTTTGTGTATTTGTTGTGAGCAATGTGGCCTTGAGTTGCTGGTTATGTGAACAGCAATCTGTGGTGCTTGGAAGTATCCTTCCTGTTGAAGAAAACAGGTATGTGCGGCATGATTCGGAGCTCTCATAGCAGTCCCATCGGACAATGGGCGGTTGCAAGGACCTAATTGAGTTGTTCAAATGATTGCAATGAGGATGTTGCTAAACACTTGAGCATGTGTCAAGACTACGGCCTCTTTTAGGGCCGGCCATTGATTCAAGGAGGCCAGCATAACACAATACACGTGAGCAGGTATGCAAATTAAAGGGTTTTGGGATTGAAAGGTGTTGTTTGGGAAAGCAAGCCCGACTGGCGCCCCCCTCCTCCTCCTCCTCTTACCCCCTCCTTCTCCTCTTCTTCCTCCTCCCTCCGATTTATTGCTGCACAAGCAACTTCTCAGTCGACAAGGGCGTTATGTTGCTGCAGGGATTGGCCAGTACTTGGTGCTTGTGATCAGGCTTGCAGGAAAGCAACGCAGCATTTTGTTTCTAAAAAAAAAAGTGACCAAGAATTGCGGAGCCACTTTTGGGGCTTATTTCAACCATAAATCACGTTAAAACGACGAATTTTGGGGGCTCCCAGATTCCATAGGTTGAGGCCCAACGGACTGGCCAAGTCCTGAGTCGGCCCGAAGTTCTTAGGGGTTTGGTGGCAACCACCGCTTTTTGTTGCGTCAGCGGCAACTGTTTTCCAAGAATCAAGTTCATGTTGCCCAGTTATCTGATTAATTCATGTGGATAAGTGAGTGACAAGTGAAATGTTCGCTTCTCAAGTTGTGGACCCTATGATCGCCGTACGTTTCTTCGCTCGGTTGGCAGGCAGTTTGTCTCAAAAAGGGCCAACTGGCCAATCATACATTCTGTTTTGCCATCCTCGCGCATGGCTCTCCGAGAATACATTTCCCAACAACTGGCTAGGATGTTATCCTAGGGCTTCGCCATCACCAGCTGCGCTGGCCGGTCGGACAGGTGAGATGGGGAGCCCCCCCCCACCCACCCACGCCGCCCGCGAACCCACACACCACGCGCCCACCCAAGCACGCGCTCGCTGCAAACCCACACGCGCAAGAGGCTGCAAGGTTGCTTGCCCAACCCCCCTGACACTGAGAGTGCATGTGTGCCTGCTTGCGTCCGGCGCTTGCGTCCGCGCGCGCGCTCTCGCCGCACGGGTCTCACACCGCAAGCCAGTCAGACCAAAAAATGCATCCCCGGCAGCCCCGTGGAAAAATGGAGAAAAACACGGTATGCGCGATGTTTTCCACACAGCGAAGGCGGCCGCGCTTGCGCAAGAAAAGCTGCTCACTCGATCGCAGACTTGCCCGCCATTTTTGAAGGGTTTGAGCGATGCAGGGTATGCAGGGGATGGCCCAGATGCTGGCGATGCAGGAATTGGCGAAGTTTGCGAGGATGCAGAGGATGTTGGCGGGGATGCTGGCGACTGTCCGGGGCGATATGCACGGTATTTACAGTGTTATTTGAAGGTCGGGCAACGTGGCATCAGAAGCCCGTCGCAAGGCCAGCGAGGCCGGGGATGTTTTGGGGTCCAAGTGCTTGGGCCGGCCTACGTACAGGTGATGCAGGCAATGCTGAGGAGCTTGGGGTGCAACAAAACACGTCAGCGGTATATACCCTATGGGTAGGGTTGCCCTCGCTCTTCGAGCTCGAAGACACACAGCGCAGCTGGACTTACTGGCCAAGCTTACTCGCCAAGCGTTTTGTTTGCTGCGAACTGTTGCGCCTTGGGTCAGACGGCTGGCTTATTAGAGCCTGAAGCAGGAGCTTCAGAATTTAACACTTCTTGAGAGATGATCTAACATGAGCCAAGTTGATTTTGTGGAGGTTGGGGTTCAAAGGGATGAGTTGGTCCTTGAACCCTTGGACTCCTTGGGTCTCAGTTCATCGCCGGTTTCATCGAGGCGCGAGGCCAAAGAGCCGCTGGTGGTCTCCGCAGAGCTGGACCCCGTGAATGCGCTGGTGGCCCGCCCCCTGGCCGAATGCTTTACACCTTGAAGATGTGGCTGTGGCTCAAATTTAGCAAGCTAGGGTTACTACACAACTATCATCATGAAGTTGGCTTCGTTGCCAAGTTTGGTTGACTTTCCTAAGGGTGGTGTGACGTTGAAAGGGCAACAGAGGGAGCCCTGCTTCTGTTGTCAAGGGGGCCCGTGGTTGCAACATGAGCAGTTGGTGGCCCACCAAAGAAAACAAAACATTTTGTGCCTGGTTCATGTGGCCGTGTGGGGCGAGGATATTGCACTATTTCAACCAGAGCTTTGTGTGTGTGAGACACATGTTTGTCAAAACTGCCAGTAAAAGGAAGGCTGTTGTGTTGCGTGGTTGTTTCATGTGCTTTGGGCCCTTGTGTGTGTGTTGTGTTATGTTCTGACACTTTTGATTGAATCAGTGTGCAGACTGCCAGTTGTCCAGTGGCACCCTTTCTTCCCTTCTCCGCACGAGTTATGTTCAGCATCAGCCCACAGACCAGACGAGAAGTGGACCGAAAGCATTCAGCCGCGCAAGGCTGTTTTAAAAGTCCGAAACCTAGACCCATGGCACTGAGCTCAAGACAAGTGTGCGGCTTCCGCAAAGACATGACACGGTATGTGTGAGGTTTTCTTTGTACCAGGTTCTTTGCAAAGGTCCTTTGTGCAACACGGCTTGGTACTTAAAAGTTGCGATTGCATTTGTTTCTTGACAAGCCTACCTACAGACTAGGGGAGAGTTGAACCGGGCCCACCGATCCTGATAGCAGGCGCGCAAAACCATGAGACAACTTCCGAAGGCTCATCCGTGAATGAAAACAAGTTGTACAACCCTCTCATTTTCCCCGACTTTTGCACATCAACCACTCCGATCTGCCAAGCACGGGATTTTTGCACATTGACCGCGCCGATCTCGGCAGAGGGTCGAGCGGCGATGTTGAATCATTGCAAGTCGTTCGGGTTTTTGCACCTCGACGCAGATTTCCGCAGCGGGGCGCGAGTTTGCTGAGCGGGGTCGGTCCTGCCATGCTGCCTGAAAAGACTACAGTACGTTTGTTTCGAGCGCAGGTTCTGGCTGCACAGCTTTGCGCTGTCTCATTGCACGATATTTTACGCCGAGCATTACGTGATATCTCATGTGTAACAGCCGACCTCTGTGCAACTTTCTGTGACATCTCAACGAAATCACATAGTCACAGAATCCATTCCTTGTGCAGTTCTTTAGAACATCTCAATGTGATACCTTATGATATGTGTATGCGCAGAGTGAAATCGCTGCGCAGCTCTCTCACCATATTAACTCCGCTGCACCATACATGTAGGTTGCTTTGTGGGCTGTCTCTTTGTGCACTGATCAAGTCTGCTGTGCAATCAATCGAGCTGTGCCACTCTGTGCGCTCTGGGTGAAAGAAGCAGGCGATCTTATCGGTCTGTGTCGCGCCTGAGGTGCTGTGCACTGCCTGGCAGGCCTGGCTGAAGAGGTGGAGGCGTGAAGCGATGCGCAGAGCCGGAAAGCCCCGGAAGGCCAAAGAAGCGGCTGTGACCCATGATGAAGTCTCTCCCAGCAGGGAAGCTGAGGCAAGCCCCTTAGCCAATGTTTTGCCAATGGAAGCTTCTGACAGTTTCAATTTCCAGGTTTGTGGGCGGAAGGGCGGAAGGGGCGGACGGGGCGAAGGGGCGAAGGGGCGAAGGGGCGACGGGCCCAGGAGAAACACTGATAGAAAGGCCCTAGGAAGTTAATTGAGGGGTTAGTAGGGCCATGGAGCCTCGGTAGACCCCCATCAAATTGAGGTTCCGGATTGTTGGTTGTTGGGGAGGCCTGATTTCAGATCAGCAGAGCCTCAGAGTCATCAAGGCATTGAAAAGGGAAAGGGTGATGTGGAGAATCACAGCGAATATCATAGAGGTATCAAGATGTTTGAGTGACCATGGCATTTCATGATTGGGGTAACCTTCGCCATGAAATATCTACCTCGCCCAGCCGGCTTGGCTCAGCTGGTCACACCAAAAAGACAACTGCAGCTCCTACGACGCGCCACTCAGCGCCATGCTGTTTCCGCTTGTGGCGCTGCTTTCGCTGTGCGACGCCGCGCTGCTGCGGGCGAATTCCCCGCAACCCGTGGTGGTCAGGCAGGGGGCTGGGTGTGCAGTCAACCTCCATTGGGCAACAGCTGTGGTGGGGCTTACAAAGAACAGGCCTGTGCAAAGAACAGGCTTGCGAAGGCAACCTGATCAAAAAAAGGGGCAAGTGTTTGTTTCCACTGGATTTGGAGGCAACTCAGTTGCCAGACCCATGTCTGGTTTCAGAGTGACGCGCGAGGCTCAGGAGGGATCACCTTCAACACCACCGCCATGGTATCACGATGTCTGCCAGCTCAGGCAGCTTGCTTTGGGGGAGAAGGGAGGCCGGGCTTTTTGGAGGGATCGAGCCTTATGCGAAGATCCTTTTTCGTGTACACAGCATTTTGAGGATGCTACGGCCCCTTGAGAGTCATGCGAGTCGGGTTAAGATCAGGAAGGAGCTGCAAAAGCAGCAGCTTCTGTTCATAGTTATGACTGTCCCGTCCCCTTCATTCCCGAGTTCGCTGAAAGCTATAGGGGTTCTTCTAGCTTCGAATAAAAGGGGGAAAGTGATTTGCAAGTGCTGGCGCAGGTGCTGTTTGGGGTGCTGTTTGGGGGTGCTGCTCGGGGTGACGGCAGGAGCGCGGTTTTGGTGAGATTGAAGGGGGCTAGGTGCCGGTTCAGGTGCTGCTTGGGGATGCCGTTTTGGGATGGCTCGTGGGCAATCATGGGCCTGTGTTGGGTTATTTGGGGTCTTGCTAGTGTAATTTACTATTTATTTGCTTTTCGGTTTTGGTGGAGTCTAAGAACTTTCCGCAGGAGGTTCTTTTGGTTGCCAATATCCCCCCCAATGTACTTCACCTGACACAGGTTCCATGCCCCCTACTCGAGCAACCCGAAAGAGGCATCCTCTGTCCAAGTGGGTCCCTTGCAACTTTCGCTTGCCTGGGATTTTGATCCACATGACCATTTGATACCATTCGGGTGTTTCCCTAGTTGCATGGTCTACCCATACTCACGTAATAAGCTTTCTGTTGTGCTTGCTGCCTTGCAGTATACATGTTGCTGCTTTTGGGGCCTGACCCCCCCCCCCCGCCCCAACAAGCAAACGCCGCGCACTTAGTTGCACTGATCGAGTCGCAAAGACAAAGTGGTCCCTAAAAAAGTGATTGTCGAGTTTCCTGCATATTTATGATTTGGGTGTTTCCCTACCTGCATGGGACGCACACAAGAACGTAAGCTTCCTTGAGCTTCCTTTATCACATCCACCGGTCCCCCCAAGCAGCTGATTCGCTCGTCGTAAGCTCGAGGCCTGGGCGCCAGGGGCACCGTGTGCTCGCCGCGCCAGATGCGGCAACTGGAGCAGCACCAGGCGGTCTGGAGCGCACGCTCGGTGCCACTTGCTTCAGCCGGTGAGACCTGTTGCTGCTCATGGTACCCGCATGCTAAAAGCGTGTAAAGACGAAAGAAAAGAACAAAACTCTGACTCCAGTTCACTCGATCACTTTTGGTGACCATGGTATAACAGTATAACAGGACACAATCGTACATATTGTTGGGATCCAAGTGAAGTGGGGCTAAGGAGCCGGATAGAAGATGTCACTCAAGACTAGGTGTGCTTTGAATTCCAGCCTGTCAATTGCATTTTGTTTTCACCCATTCACGTGTTTGCGGTGCCTGTTGAATTCAACCAACAAACATAGCTGTCCTTTTATTTCCCGTGGCCACTGGGCAAGCAGCTACAACCAGGGCTCTAGCGACCTTTTCCAATTTGAGACATGCCACGTTGGTTGCTATTTGTCAATTTGAGTCTTATGCCTGAGTTTTTCTTGTGGCTGATGCTTGTGGGTTATGGCAGCCGGTGACTTCGCAGTCAAAGGTTGGTCCAGATCCTATCCCCTAGGCGCTTCCTTAGGCAACTGAGTGTCAACCCGGCTGAACAATAGACTACAAGCACTCATCCAAGTTGTTTTCCCTCAGAGGGCAGTATATCTCCACATCCCTGAATTCAAGTTGCCCACCTCACCCTTCGTCTTTGAACAAAAACTGCAGGAATCACTGCAAGGAGCGCCGTCTGATTTCCCAGCTGGGCAGCCAAGTCTTTGCAGCCCTCGGGTTGCGCGCCTCGCCAGGCTCGGCTTCGGCATCCCGCGCTGCTGCAAAGGTCGGCCACCTCCGCCTTTGGCGAGTCGGAGGCGCGTTTTGGAGTTTTGGGGCAACGATGAGAAGCGCAACGCCAGACTTACTCAGCTCCGAGAAGTTGCAATGCCAATGGTTTGCCACACCAAGGGTTATATACAGTTTGGCTTGTTGGTGAGTTGTCTGCCC